ATTTACAGGAGAGCGTGATTTTAAAAAAAAACGGAAAAGAAAAGGGCCAGTGTTTAAAAATGTTTAACAATATTTCGACGCGATGTCATTATCATATGATTTTACGTTAAATACTGTATTTTTCTTTTCTTAAATCGCCCTCTTCTCTCAGTGTTGAATTATTATTATTATTATTATTATTATTATTATTATTATTATTATTATTATTATTATATTTAATGATTGCTATTATTTTTCAAAATGATTTCTTTTATTCATGTAGCATGTAATCTTATTTTTCTCATTTTTTAAAAAATTCATTTTAATCACAAAAATGTTTAAACGTCCCAAAACCGACAAATTATTATTATTATTATTATTATTATTATTATTATTATTGTTGTCTTTTTGCACAGCTTATTGGATGTTAGCTGGTTTTGCACTTATTGGATATCAGGCTCCATCGTTCAGCCTGAGGAATCCAATCCTTTTCTGGTTGTTCATGCCGTGCCAAACAAACAAGAATTCTGCAAGACATAAAACTCACTGGTAAATCTAATGCTTTCAACCAATCGGCAAAATTCTCTGACACTGTCCCTAATGCTCTGATTACAATCGTCACGATTTTGGCAATTCCATAGTCTCTTGATTTCGTTCTTTAAGTCGTGTATAATTCTCAATTTTCTGTTCTTCATCTTCGACCACATTAGCATCAAACGGACAGGCAATGTCAATAAACTAACAAACTCCTTCTTTTTCTTCTTCTTTTTACTGAGAATAACCATATCCGGGCGCGAATGTTAATTGCTTTGTTCGTTTGAACATTAATGCCCCATAAAATCTTTACCTGTTCATCATCATAAACAGCCTCTCTGACTTACGATTATACCATCTATATGCACACTCTGATCTACATTTTTCATATAACTTCTAATTTACCACCGAGAGTCATTTCGCCAAATCTCCAATTTTTTGTAAACATTCTGTGCAAGCCAGGAACAATCCGATTCTCTGTTTACAACTACAATCATAATAATAATAATAATAATAATAATAATAATAATTATTGTTATTATTATTATTATTATTATTATTATTATTCTATTTTATTTGGCCATGACCATAATTCTTGATTTGATGTTAAAGCAGACCGTCTTTTCAAACAATAGGAAGAGCTGTAAACAAAATACGAAATAAAAAACATTTTTTTTACTCGTGCCTCTAATGTTAAATGCATCATGGCAGATATTACCTGAGAGGTACTAGGAATAGTTACTAACATATAAGTCTTAGCTGCTATGATTTTATAGCGATAGGTATTAATGTTAACTTAAAGAAATCTGACAGATAATAAGAATTAAAAAAACAATTGTGGGTATCGGGCAGTCCTTCATCACCCTCGCTATCGTATCAACATTTGCTTTTTTTTTCTACCTACATTTGTATACATTACAAATTAAACTAAGCACAACTGACGACGAAAAATAGGATGAAAATTTTGACGTCATTCTGAAGTCTCATGTTTCCCCCTCCAAATCCGTGAATTTATTTTGCCCATGAATCAACACTACATAAAATTCATTATATTTCATCTATAAGGTTGAATGTGTTAAAATTATTCAACATTTTAGCAAGAAAAACCTCAAGTCAATGTTCAAAATGGCTGCAGAACATCTGTTGATTTATTTAAGATTGAATAATCATGACAGGTCTCTAATCTTTTTTTTCTGTGGATTTATTTGTTTTCAATTTTTCTAGTTGAATTGTTCACCTATATTGGATATGATATATTATTGTACATAATTAGGTTACAAAAAAATTGTATTTTATATGAATGCTACCTTATGACAATTGAGATGTAGTAGAATGGCGGAGACCCTTATGCATTCAGAGGGGGTGGGCAAATGACCCTTGCACTGAACCTGATACCAAAGACACCATTTTTAGCAACTCACAGATTATTATTATTATTATTATTATTATTATTATTATTATTGCTGCTGATGCAAAACTAATGTTTTTTTTTCTTATTCTTTCTTGTAAAAAATAAATTTTTTCATGTTTCTTTCATAACAGATATTTCTTAGTTTTAAATTAAAGCTACAATAATAATTTGTTGAGGATCGAACTCATGATGCTAGTAAATAATTTATGGTGGTATCCTTATGCTTATAAGCTAATATTTAAAAAATCATTGTGAGTTTTACAATTATCAACACACACACACACACACACTCTCTCTCTCTCTCTCTCTATATCTATATATATATATATATATATATATATATATATATATATATATATATATATGATAATAATGTAATTTTAAGGTATGCTATATTTAGTTTAAGTGCTCCATATCAGTGTAATAGCATATGTAAATATAAAAGTGGACTTTGAAATCAATGCCCTGAGGCCACAGTATATTTCATGCTTGGACGCAGTTTTCATGCCTTGAAGATTGCCTTTATGCATGGGACAGACTATCGCCACTGTGTGTTTACTGTAATGTCCACTATATATATATATATATATATATATATATATATATATATATATATATATATATATATATACATTACAGTATATATATAGGAGTTTGCCTTTCTAACCTGTTCTTTGAAGTCAAGTGGAACGTCCACATTTTTGATTATTTCATTATTGTCTTTTCGAATTATATGTGATATCCATTTTAATTGCTTCGGCTGTTGAATCTCAAGTGATGTGTATTCTGTCAATTGTTTTTTTTTTCTTGGGATTTTGTAGCACCAGTCCACAAGGTCCTTCCTCAGACACTTAGTCTGCATTAGCTCGAAAACATTTTATTCATTATATATATATATATATGTTAAGAAATGGACAAGGTCCGACAATTTATTTATTAAAGACATTTTTACGTTTAACGTTGTTATTTATAGATACAAGTATTTAAGCAAATGCTCTGTTTATGATAAACAGTATTAAATAACATTTACCGGCCTGAATGTCCGAGAAATTTTCATAGAAAATATTCGTTCTTTGACAGGATTCGAACCTGCATCCTATACGGAACCGTCATATACGCTGACGTGCCTTGACCGTTAAAAAATAAATAAGTAAATAATTATTAAAAATAAATAAGTAAATAATTATATTTAGGCTCTACATTTGTATCGAGCATTGTTTTTTAAAAATAATAACAAAAATACTAAAGAATTTGAGTTCTTTCCTTTTTTCTATATATTTTCACACACACACACACATATATATATACATATATATATATCTATACCTATATATGTATATATATATATATATATATATATATATATATATATATATATATATATATATGAAGACATAATTTTTAGGTATGCTATATTCATGTGATAAAGTGTTCAATATTAGAGATAGAGCGTATGCAAATATAAAAGTGAAAATTGAAGTTAACACTCAGGCCACAGGCTGTTTCATGCTAGACGCAATCGTCAGGTCACATGTGAACTTCAACATTTATTTACCCATCTGGTTTTATAGTGTAAGAAAAAACAGTGCTCAATGTAGAGTAACAGAGCTGTATAATATACACATATATATATATATATATATATATATATATATATATATATATATATATATATATATATATATATAAACAAAAAAACAGTATTCCAGTATTTTAAAATTATTTCGGCATGAGTCGTGCAATTAATATAATACATTATATATATATATATATATATATATATATATATATATATATATATATATATATATATGTATTACATTAATTGTTCGTATATATATATATATATATATATATATATATATATATATATAATTTATTACATTAATTGCACGATTCATGCCGAAATAATTTTAAAATACTGGAATACTGTTTTTTGTTTATATATATATATATATATATATATATATATTAATATATATATGTATGTATATATATATGTATATATATATGATTTATTGTTAAACGATATTTTTAAAGGATATACATACTCAGATACGGATATCCATTAAAAATAATGTTTAAGCAATAAATTTAAACATGTCGGATTAGTAAATGAAAAATCCGTGTCTAAAAATTGCTTTTGTTTATATTAATATGCGACACTGGGCAGAGATGTATATTTCGAGAATCGAGAAAGGTTTGTATTCAAAGGCATTATTTGGGCCTCAATTTGGGCCTCAATTTGAGCCTCAATTTGGCCTGTAGGTACTTCGTAGGGAAACGCAGGTTCTAATCCTGCGCTAAAATGCTTACTTTTCTAATAAGATTTCTCGAATATTCAGGCCGCTTGATGGAAATAAATAAATATACTATTTAATAAATAAACAGTGCATCAATTCAAATATGCGTATCGATTAAAATTAAAATTCAAGCAATAAAGTAAAAATATTTTGAACTAATAAATGAAAAATCCATTCTCCTCTAAAAACAACTTGAAAGAGGCCGTTTGACCAACACAAGGTCTAACAAAACGATCAAGAAACAAATAAAAACTAGAGAGAGAGAGAGAGAGAGAGAGAGAGAGATGTGTGCGTGTTACTACAATATTCTGCGGATTTCCTTCTTTATAAAAATATTTATTTTTCGACATAATCACCTTCCAGTTAAACCAACATTTTTCCATTAACCAACATAATACAGTAGCAATATACGTTTAATATTCAGCTGCTGTCCGCGTCAGACCACTGAGTTAATGATTTAAATTCGTCTATGTATATAGGCATGTATATATTTATGACTTCAACAAGGAAATATCCATGGCAATACAATTAAGCCTGTTTAAGATGGCGTCGTCAGCGATGAAAGACATTTCCTTCCGTCTCGTTGAAAAGAAAGCCCTGGACTTTCGCTATACGTTCATGAAAGGAAACTTTGAAAACTTGCACACAGTCCTTTGAATACGAGATCGATAGTTAGAAATATAAATTGACTTTAGACTAGAACATGATTACAAAATTGAAAATCTCAGTGAGGTATGAACCTACAAACACGATTCTGGAAGACTAACAAGGTATTATTCGATGGACCTCTCAGATAGATAGATAGATAGATAGATAGAAAGTGAACAGAATGAGATAGATAGATAGATAGATAGATAGATAGATAGATAGATAGATAGATAGATAGAAAGTGAGCAGAATGAGATAGATAGATAGATAGATAGATAGATAGATAGATAGATAGATAGATAGATAGATAGAAAGTGAGCAGAATGAGATAGATAGATAGATAGATAGATAGATAGATAGATAGATAGATAGATAGATAGATAGATAGATGAACAGAATGAGATAGATAGATAGATAGATAGATAGATAGATAGATAGATAGATAGATAGATAGAAAGTGAGCAGAATGAGATAGATAGATAGATAGATAGATAGATAGATAGATAGATAGATAGATAGAAAGTGAGCAGAATGAGATAGATAGATAGATAGAAGATAGATGAACAGAATGAGATAGATAGATAGATAGATAGATAGATAGATGAATAGATAGATGGATAGATGAAAGTGAGCAGAATGAGATGAATGGATGGATAGATGAACAGAATGAGATAGATAGATGGATAGGATAGATGAAAGTGAGCAGAATGAGATAGATAGATAGATAGATGGATAGATAGATGGATGGATAGATAGATAGATGGATGAAAATGAACAGAATGAGATAGATAGATAGATGGATAGATGGATGAATGGATAGATAGATAGATAGATAGAAAGTGAGCATGAATGAGATAGATGGATAGATAGATAGATAGATAGATAGATAGATAGATAGATGGATAGATTTCAGTGATAGTGACACATAATCTAGTTTTAACATCATTATTCAGAGACCTTTTTCACTTGCTGAAATATCCCCCTTTTCATTATTTACTAATAATATAGAAGCGTATTGCGTCATATGAAATCATTGATCTGAGCAGAGGATGGTATGGAGGAAAAGATGTTGCCCATGCAGCATCTCCCCCTCTCCATGTTGCTGATGGCTCCAAAGGAACAGCAGGGCAATTACAGTTGGTCAGCAGCGTCGTAGCAAGAGCTGCCAGAACGCGCGGTTGAAATCAGCGACGAACTTCATTAGTGGCTCCAACTCTGAATATTTAGTTCTGTATTAAGTGCTACGAATTTAAATTCAGAGTTGCTATTTACCCATAACTGGGGAGAAAAGAAAAGACGTCATACCATTCCCAAAGTTATTCGCACGTTAGTGTATCTAATGGACCCGACTGATATTCGAACTCCGCTCTCAGATTCCTCAATCTGAGCCATCATTCAATATTCTATAAATTAACAATAGCCGTTCTTTTTAATTAGATATACCGTGTAACTTATGTAAAATGAAATACATATATATATATGGATTTCGCTTTCAAAAAGTATTATCAAATCATTTGTAAAAAAAATATAAAAACTCGCTGCTATGGCAACTCTACATTTGAAAACATTTAACAGCTGATGAAATTGAAAGTAAATATCCTTGAAGCAAATCAACAAATTTATTACATGTCATCTTTCCTAGGTAAGATAATCTTTTAAGAAAATAATATTAAAATCGACTCTAGTTAAATATCATAACAAAAGTTTACATTAAAACTTTTAATTACATTCTGCATTTACCTTACCCTCCTCTCCCCTCTTATATTCTCCGTCCATCTGTTTCTCTGTCTTTCTCTTTCTTTCTCTCTCTAGCTTTCTCTGTCCGTCTGTTTGTCTGTATCTCTCTGTCCATATATATATATATATATATATATATATATATATATATATATATATATATATATATTATTATATTCGAAAATTATAACATAAATATGTTATAAAATCACTACAAAGTAGCCATTTTGTTTTAACACTTCTTGTGTCTTATCAAGCGATGGTGTTAAATGTACAATAAAGAGTATATATATATATATATATATATATATATATATATATATATATATATATATATAAAAAAGCATGCTAAAAGCGAAGAAAGAAAACAATCATCAAACACGGCTCTACAAATTAAGCATACGTTAAAATATATGAACGAAGTTATTTCAGCAGACATATTAGTAGTAGTTATAACACAGTTGTTTGCTGATTGTTTGGAAATTACACGTATTCTTAAAATAATGCAAATACGTGACTCTTTCGCTCAGTATGCACTTTCTGCCTTTCTATTATACGAACGCAATTTTTCTTTTGTGTTGTAAAGAACAAAAACAAAATATTTTTGTGGTATTGTGTGTTGCAAGTGTCTTTGTAATTTTCTTCTTTCAACCTGAAGACATATTTTTGACATAACTCCTTTCGTATGTTTTAACGTGTGCTTAATTTACTTTAAAATCACGAGGCTATTGCAAGAAATTTCTCGTTAAACTATGTAGAAAGTTGAGTAATTAATTCTAAGAAAAGTGTGAGTAATCAGTTTCGCAAAAAACAACAACCCCGCCTCAACGTTTTGCCGAAAGACTGAAAACTTAAAACTAACTTAACGCGACGAATGTTTATAGAAAAAAAAATGGATCAAGGAATGTAAATATTAGATTTACTAAACTCAGAAGTTTATTGATTAATAAATATTTTTCCCAATTTTTAAATATCTATTTTTAGGAGGAAAAATATTGTTGATCATTTTTGGAGTGATCTCTCAAATTTCTAAGAATTAAAACACAGATACATTATTAAGAGGTGGGAACAATAGAAGAGTAATCAGAAAGACAGTAGAAAGTTAAAAGAATGTATGTCTATATCTCGGAGATGAGGTATTTTGACTACTTACTTTATTTACATTATTCAGACTGTTATTGCCATCTTCACTGCGATATTCACAACGTTTCGTTAGTTGTACACTCCGGCCTTCTTGAGATGATCTGAATTTCGAACCGAACCTTTTATTTCGTTGGCTGGATAAAGTGAATAAAGCCGTTGGTTAGATCCAGTAATTAGACCCAAAGAGTTCAATACCAGGCTGCAGCAGTGGTGAACCAAAACTTGGAGAGTTGAGTTAAAGGGAAATAACAGGTATCCGGATGAGGCATGGCACGTGGAACTAGAAGAGTCTTCCCCGGTGAATGAAATAAAGGATTCGAGTCGAAATTCCAATCACCTGATGAAGACCGGAGTGTACAACGGCCGAAACGTTGTGAATATGGCAATGAAGATGAGAATAACAGGCCAAATAAATTTAAATTATGTAAGTAAGATAAAAGATAAGTTAAGTAATTTCTAAGTATTTTGTCTTACATTCTTTGTTCGGATATTCTTTAGGAATCTTAATAATATTTATATACGGATTGCAATCCTTTCTTATGAAAAATCTTATTAATTTCTTGTGGACAGTTTTTTGGGTTTGGGTTTTGGGCTCTTGTATCTTGCCGATAAAATCACGTCTATTCACGTTTATTCTCGCCTAATCTCGTTTCCACAATATAATTTCAACCGCCTTTTCAGTATGTCAGAAAACTAGGTTTTCCTGTGGTGTTTATTTCTTCGGACTAATTATGTTCATTGTTAGTTTTTTTTTTTTTGTTTTTGTTTCATTTTTTTTTTATCACGTTCCTATTCGTCAGTGCCCCAGAAATTGTTCAGTAGAATGTCGTATCTACGCAATAGTGTCATAAGTTTGAACTAACACCTCCTTTTTTTTTCCATATACTATGATAATTTTGCTGAAAGCTCTATTTCAGAAGACATATACACTTTGAGACTTATTTCAGCGAAATTATCATTTTCCAAATGATAGTTCATAGATAAAAAAAAAATGCAGAACATGGGATAAGAATGCTTTACAATTTTGATTTTATTATTAAACACATATCCTTCTGACATCAGGTTAAACTGGCACCAATATTTTCTTGTCTTTTGGGAGCATTTTGCATAAAGTTTTTTTTTTTTATTTCAATTGAAAGTTTTAATATTTTCCAACATATTTCAAGGAAATTTTCATTTTCCAAAATTATAGTTTCTTATTATAATTTAAATATATGGAAAAAGGAAGTGTCACTTCAACCTGACCCAAGAGAATATGGCTTGAACTGACGTTCGTTTTTTCCCATATATTTTACACAATGAGAATAGTTGCGGGTAGCGGGTGGCACACAAGTCGATACACGATCAGTGTCAACCGGGTGGCCGTGGAGAAGGGGCATGATTTTGTATGACCATAAATTCATAGTGATCCATAGATAAAAACATTATTGATGATATGTGTCGAAACATCAAACCTATGTATTTTTCGAAATGACCATGTTGATTAAAGACAGTATTGTCTTGAATTTAAGGAATATCTTGTACATCTTGCAACATATTTCAGTTCCCTTTTTGACTTAATAGAATTATAGTTTAGGGATATGGAAATAAAGCGATCTGTCACTTTTATCTGACGCAGAGGATGATAGGTGTTTAATACTAATATTTACATATATATATATACATTATATTTATATGGAGTAGAAAGATTTGAACATGAGCCGTGCAATTCCAAAGAAAGGAAATTGAACTTTGCCTGATTGTGAAAATCATCCATGACTAAAGATGCGCGCAAATACAAATATTTTATTAAGACTGTCAAATGCACAAGCCGGTTGACACACACACACACACACACACACACACACGCACACATAGATAGATAGATAGATAGATAGATAGATAGATAGATAGATAGATAGATAGATAGATAACGTTAATTCCTAAGAAAGCATAGCCTACGTTTTACGCCTAGGCGATCTTCATTAAATCATCTGAAGATTGGGTGAATTCGGGTTACGACTAGGGCCATCCTTTTATGAGATTTAACGACAGATTTGCTCTGTACAGGTAATCTAGACTTCAGCCATTTTACTTAGTTGGTAGATTTGCCTTTAGGAATTTTTTCTTTTTTTTTTCAGTATTGTCGTTTTGGTTCGAAATTTTATCTGGATAAGTGTTTTTAGGTTTTTGGTGTGTTGTCCATTGGTTCCATCAATGATTTCATTTCTTATTTTTCTTTAATATATATATATATATATATATATATATATATATATATATATGAGTGTGTGTGCGCGTGTGTGTGTGTATATGTGTGCGTGTGTATGTGTGTGTGTATATATTGAATAAAATAGACAATCACTGATGATAAAAGCGAAAATGCTGTGTAGTTAGATGAAATTCAAAAAAAATAATTGGACGCTCCAATGTAAGCCTCTTTTTGGATATTAGTAACTTTTTTTATTTTTTTTGACATTGTCGACATTGGAAAAAAAAACACTGTTCGTCCCCCCAAAAGTTAACAATATCTAAAAGGAGGTGTACACAGCAGCGTTTTAAATTTTTTTTTTTAATTTCATGGAACTACAAAACATTTCGCTTTTGTTTAGCATCACCTGCTTTGACAAGTAAAATGACAAAACGCGTCGGCAAGGACTAAGTACTATTTTGCGATTGTCTATTTTATTCATATATATATATATATATATATATATATATATATATATATATATATATATATATATATATATATATATATATATATATATATATATATATATATATGAAGAAATATAGTTTTATGGTGTGCTTTATTTGTGGGATAAAGTGCTCAATATCAGAGACCTGACGATTGCGTCTAGCATGAAACAGCATGTCGCCTCTGAGTGTTGACTTCAATATTCACTTCAATATATATATATATATATCACGTACGTTATTTTTTATAAAGAATGGAGTAAAAAAAAATTAATAATAGTAATATTCCAAGTTGTCTTGTTGATGAACAAAGAAAAATAACTAAAAATAATTTAGAAAGAAAGACACACAAATCCTGATACAAAAAGAAAATAGTAATAAAAAGCATATACAACTAAAACAAGAAAAAGTCATTTAACATATAATCTGTATATATATATATATATATATATATATATATATATATTAAAATGACTTTTTCTTGTTTTAGTTATAAAATAAAAATTATTACCTGTAGAACAACATTTCCGCCTGGAAAAAGACGATTTCAAAACCCATGATTCACTATAATTGAGAGAATAGAAAAGTTCAGAGCAGATAACATTAGAAAGATTTTAGAGTCCCATGAAAATAAGTGGATACAATTTTTAAGTACACAAAATCCAGCCGGGCTTAACCATAAATTTAACAATATAGATAGTACTAATATATAACTCAACAAATCAAAACCTACCCACATTTCTCACCCACACAAGATAGACATGCTTACTGAGGTGTTGAGGCCTCACACTTATGCACACACACACACGAACATACAGACTTACACACATCATACTCACTCACTCCCTAATGAGCCAAATGATAACACACACCCACAGTAATACACACGCTTACACATATCATACATAATCACTCCCTAAGAACCAAATAACACACACACAAACACTTAACAGTGACACATCCCCTCTCCAGGACCAATAAAACAGTCAAACTGACCAGGGGAATTCAGAGCAGCATAGATCCATCCAGCTCTTATCTCAAATAACAACTTAAAAGAGTCTGTTTGACCAACACAAGGAATGTTAAAAGATTCATGTTAAAAAGATAAAAAAATAAAAAAAACAAATGAAAACTACAGACAAAAGTTCATTTTCTCCAGCAAGACATTCATTTCTGTAGTTTACTGCTACCAGCAAGCAGAAATATTTCTCCTCCCGATGATGGCCATTTTGGCCGAAAATAGTCGAGGAATCTAAATGAAATAATAATAAAAAAAAAAAACGAAAGAATATTAATCTACAACCCAGTGTGTCTGAAGATTTCAATTTTTTAATATTTTTTTATTGTTCAATATATATATATATATATATATATATATATATATATATATATATATATCACTTCATCATAATAAAGTGTCTAACCTAATAATTACCAATAACACTGAGCATAAAAATACAATTATTTAAAAAGAATAAAAACAAGCAAACAAAAGCTTCTATTTCACTACATAAAAATCCATGATCAAAATAACGTGTCCCCTCAGTTGGCAATGAATCATTTTCCTTATAAATTAACATTCAATATTCAATGGCCGAGCACCAAGTGCTACTCGCTTTTACGCTTTGCTTTTCACTCTCTGCTCATCGGGCAGGGATCAAATTCTTCTTCTCTTGATCTCTAATGATAAAGGTAATATTAGCCGTTTCCTTATAAAAAAAAAACATTCAGCATTCATTGACTGAGCACCCAATGCTACACGATCTACACTTTTAACACCCCTGCCATCTTGCTGCGATTAAAGTTTAGTATCTGTCCTACATTTCATCTCAGTTTTGTTTCCGTCTTCGGACAGAGTGCAACGCAGTTGTGTGTCTGTCTACGTACAGAGTGCAACTCAGTTGTGTATCTGTCTTTGGACAGAGCGTAAATCAGTTGTGAGCCTGTCTTCGGATAGAGCGCAAATCAGTTGTGTGTCTACGGACAGACACACAACTGAAAATATTATTAAGAGATGCCTGTCCCGTCCCTCTGCTACATTTGCCAGTGGCAGTACCTCCCTCACTGCACTAAAGAGGGGGTCGGTAGTAATACCGATGCTAGCTCAACCGACGGTTACCGGGTCTGGGCTATTTTGGAGCTTGGAACGCACGCGGGCTACTCACATTAAACTGGCCTTGTGTCACATCATGTTAGCGTCGTGTAGCAAGGAGATGATGAGTGTAGTATCTGTCATTCGGGGAGTCAATCTACATTTTATCTCTCAATTGTGTCTGTGTCTTCGAACGGAGCCCAACAAATAAATGAGAGATAGCTGGATCCGGAGATTCCAACTCTGCGGCAATACCTCCCTCAATGCATCAAAGAGGAAATAACAGTGGAACAACAACAGTGGAATAACAACGTCAGCTCCACGTTGATTGTGGGGACCGAGAAATTTGGGACTTGGCTTATGTGCACGCAGATGTTCTTCCCACTTTAAATCGGCCTTGAGCCATATCCTGTCACCGTGTGATGAAGCCCAAATAAATACTAAGTGTAGTATCTGCTCTCCTCATCCCTAATGTTAGTGGTAATATTAGCCGTTTCCTTATAAGGAAACATTCGATATTCATTGACCTAGCAGCCCGTGATATTCGAATTACGCTTTTCTACACTCTTTGGCCATCTGGCTAGGATCAAAGTGTTGTAGCTGTTCTCTTCATCTCTAATAGTAATGGTAATGTTAGCCGTTTCCTTATAAGGAAACATTCGACATTCATTGACCTAGCAGCCAATGCTACTTGATTTACGCTCTTTTTCATTTTCTGGTTGTCAAAGTGTAGTAGCTGTTTTCCTCTAATGCTAATGGTAATATTAGCTGTTTCCTTATAAGGAAACATTCGGCATTATTTTAAGCAGCCATTCCAGTTTTCGGTTAAAATTTATAATTTTTTCTCTTAAAACATTTTTTTCCGGAAAATAGGTTTCTCGAGTTTTAGTCATTGTTATAGTTCTTTGATGAAAGCGTTTTCCTTCCTAACCTTTTGCTGGAAGTGGTTTTCAATATCAGAATGTTGATTATGGCATTATTTCGAATTACATTTTAGTTTTTGGTAAAGTTCATAAAGTGATGTGGTTTCTGTTATTTGATACCGTTCATTGTTTACGATTCTGTAGCGCCAGTCCACGATATTCAAAGCCAGATAGTCCTCACTAAATAACTCTTATAATAAGACCAACAATAGTTAAAGTAAAACCTTCTTCGCATAGATTATTTTGCAAAGGATCGAGCAACCCGAAACATTTCTTAAGAGTATTTTCCCAAAGTAAGGACGCAAAGTGACCTAATAATAGAATAGAATATATTGAAAAGAGCAAACACTTGAGGTGTAGGGTCGAGCAAATACATGCTGTGAATATAAGAGAAATTATGCATCTTGGGGTTTGCTCAAGAAAGCAGACTGCTTAATAAAAGGCTCAAGTATGATTGAAATGTCGACATATTAAAAAGAGCATTTCTATAACAGTTACATTTTTATTTGATGGGGCGTAGGATTTTAAAATTCGATGTATATAATAAACGAAGCTAGATTTTCTTGTGCTAAAACAATAGCAACGATCTTATAACATTTGTGTTTATTGCAGTTTTCTCATCTGATAATGCAAGACTCTTCAGTAAAACGAATCGAGTCATCTCGGTCACTGTGTGTTTATCTAAAAATAAATACGCTTAAAATTCACCTTCTTCCCTGCCGTGCGCCAACGGCTTAGGGCTAAAATCTCCGACTGACGCCAATTCTGCTGGGTTTCGATCTTAGCTAGCAACCGGTCGTTTAGCCACACTGATGAGCTGTGATACAATTTAATCTATTATTTAAAGGATCATTCGTTAAAGTCCCAGCTTGTTTAATGAGCGCCATTGTATATCAATTCCATCCTGAGTTGGCATGTATGATACACACTATGGCGATCATGTCCCTTATTGATTCATGAGTGACATGGCAGAGGATTTCCCCCTGACTTTACTTTCTGCGGTAACTGGTTGCCATTGCACCCCGTCTGTACTACTATTTAACCCATATCTATGGGGAGAAGCGATGGATTCATACCTTTCCCAAGGATATTTTCGCATGAGTAAATGTAACAAATTCGACTTGAATTCGAACTCGGGTCTTCGATTTCACCATCCGAGCCGATATCTATCACATCAGCCGCACATCACAACCTACATCACTACCTATTCCAAATAAGACGTGAATAT